GGCAGCGGACCGCACGTTGACCTCGCCGTCTCCGATATCAAGCTCACTGTCTCGCCCGGTCAGTGCACCATACACACACACACACACATACAACCCTTATAACAAAATCAACTTTATCTATATTGAATAACTTTTTATCGCGACTCCGTCCGCATGGAATTAAAAAAACAAAAGTGCCGAACATGCCAATTTTCATCCAGATCCGTTAAACCGTTTAGGCTTCAAACTCTATCAGACATCCATCCATCTAATCTTTTGCATTCATAATCAATTTTTTATTCATAATTAATATTTATTACGTCCGTGTAATGACAAAATTGTAAAAATATGTTACACAGTGATAACGTAACTTCTGAGTTAATTCAGTTCATACAAAAATACAAATCTTTCTTCTATAATATTATTATACATTTTTCTACAAAGCAATAATGATTATATTTAGAGCTTTTTTTACAATTATGTTATTGTTGTTTGGCTACATAAAACATTTTAGTCAATTATTTTTTTGCAGATATAATCGGTCTACTGAACCGAGTGCTGGCCACGATGACGAGCAGCGAGGAAGACAACGTGGAGGAGGACGACAAAGCCATTATATACGACAACCTGTGGGCCATACAACCATTCAGACCTAACTCATACTGGTTCTTGAAAACTGGTAAACTTTACAGTTTTTTATTTATTATATTTATTCAAAACGCAATGTTACAGTTCACATATAATTTTACATAATGATTTTAAACTTGTATAAAATGTTGATTCAACTGTTTATTAAATTATCTTACTCTCAAATTTTTTAGTATCGTGTAAAATTATACATAAATAATATAACTTGGATTATTATGATAACTTCGGTGAACTCACAATCATCAAATTCCAGTTGAACTGTTCATTAACGTTTTTCCTACACACGTAGTAACTGAAAAGTGAAACTGTTGAGTTAAAACTATTAGAACTGACCATATATAGCTTTAGGCGTTTCGCTGCTAATTAGCTTCCTTTAAAAAATATGGTATATACAGTGTTGTGTTTATTGATCAGAGGAGGCAGAAGAGGCGATCAACTTGGAATCCGAGATGGCGCTGGAGCAGGAGCGTCCTCCGACGGGGGAGATCTGCTTGCTGTCCAGCCCCTCCATCGTGGTGTCACTGGAGATGGACATCGGCAACGAGACGATACCGGTGCTCGTGATGCAAGCCTCGCTCACCGCGCAGCTCAGGGATTGGAGCTCTGATGTCAGTTACACTTACTGTCGTATTCGCATGAGCAAAGTGGGCTAAAATCTCAACTTACATGGACATTCGAAACGTCAGTTGCAAATGTCTATGTAAAATGAAATTTTAGCCCACTGTGCTCCGCTCAGCTTGTCTCAAATTTCGTGACCGCGGCTTTAGGGTTAATAATTGAGCATTAATGCTTGTCTCTCAAATTACTTTAAGATTGAGACTGAGTTGTTTGTGTACTTTACAAGCTTTATGACATGTTTTCCAAAATAATAAAAAGTATAATAGTAAAATTCACTTTTACTGATTATTAATAGTGTACATTATTAAGTGTTATATATTTTTAATGTTTGTGTCCATCAGCTGTAC